CCGCAGCCGCCCGCGCAGCGCTGCGCGCTCCGCGCCAGCCCCGCTCCTGCTGCTCCTGCTCGGGACGCCGTTGTCTCTCCGGCAGCTTCTGACCCCTCAGTGCACGGGGAGCGCTACGGCCAGCGCCGAAAGGGGCACTGGCGCTAGGGAAGACCTGCAGCCAGCAACTTTCTGGCTTCATCAGGCTCAAGCACTCTTCCTACGTTTCAAACAGTATTTTTTTTCCGAAGTGTACCACTGTGTTAGGCAGCCTAGGGACTGACTTCCACTTTCCGCACATTAGTGGCTCAGTGTCCGAGGACTACTTACGAACTTCAGAGCGGGTCAGCCAGAGGATGCTTACCTCTCTGGGCAAATGCAGCCCTGGAGGTCCTTACAGCAACTGGTTCAAGCGGTGGGACTGAAAAATAAAATCAAGGTTCTCAAGACTGGAATACAAATAGACTCCGCATCTGCTCCTGTATCTTTTGAGGGCGATTCCCAAGACGCTGGATATTTGTGAACGAAGTTGCTAGTGAACTCTGCTATCGATCAAGCTGCTCTGAGTGAAATTATGATTCACAGCCAGAGTTACTATTCAATAAAAAATGTTCCTTTTTTCCTCCCACCCTCTAACGCATGGTGTCTTCATGATTTCATAGGCTGGTGTTTTGGTCTGCAAGAGTACTAAATGTGCTAAATGTACAAAACCAGATGACCCACACGGCACAAACGCCTTATTTGATAGGTAATAAAAAGTTTTATCTCATACCTTGAAGTTGAAGGGGGCAATTATTTCAGCCACATTTTAAAAGTTTGAAAAAGTGGAAGAAAGACACGTAATGCTAATAAATAATCCCTGTACTTGCTCATCTGAAAATGAGGTGAGCTAACATAAACAGTATTATGGTCTAAAATGAGCCACGTGTTTCCAGGAGTATTTAATGCGAAAAAAATATCTCTTTAAGCAAACAAAACTGGCGATTTGTTGTTCTTTACAAATAAATAAGACAAGTTAAATCAGATTGGTGAGAAGGTCGTTTGTCACAGAAAATATTTTGGGAAATTATCACCATGTGTACTTGAGAAGGGAACAGCTGTTAAACACATTTCTTTACACTTATTTCTGTTCTTAAGTTAAATAAAAAAATAAACAAACGGTGAAGAATTACTTCCAGAGGTTTTTTTTTAAAGCAGATGTGTCGATTACAGATAAATTGATTTATCTGTGTAATTAAGTCTACTGCTTCGCGTAGTTGTGAAGCAGCAAAACACACTCTGAACACCTCCCAAGCCTGCTGTTACGTTTCGTTCCTTGATACTGAGAGTCTGCTCACATAGTTAATAATAATAATGAGGAATAAACACCATGCAAATACGGTCTACGGAAATGTCTCCGGTTCTCGCAAAAGTACTGAAGACGGAAAATCATTTATGGAAATGACGTAGTTGTGAGACTTCATTGCCGGCTGCTTGAGTGCTTATTAATAGGAAACCTGTATCCTTAAGCGGGTCGTGTTGGTAACGACTGCACTACCGCACACTTCAGCTTAAAAAATAAACCACACGCCGGGGGAAAAATCAACAATTCTCTAAATTAATAATATATATTCACTTTCTAGTGGGTGTTTCTCAAGCTCAGCCTTTGGTTCAGCGGGAAACACGAGGGCAGCTGGGAGGGGAAACACCGTTTTGCCCAGGCGGGTGCCGGGCAGGGCTGCCCGGCGTTTGGGGC